AAATGCAGAGGCAGCTAGGTGACAAAGTGGATAGAGTGCAGGACCTGGAGTCAGGAAGACTCATCTTTGTGAGTTCAAACCTGGCCTCAGACACTTATTAGCTGTGTGACCCTGGGCAAGTCACTTAACTCTGCTTACCTGAGTTTGCTCATCTGTCAAATGAGCTGGAGAAGGAAAAGGCAAACCACTCCAGTATCTTTGCCAAGAAAACCCCAGATAGGGGTTGGACGTGATTGAAAAACAACTGAACAACGATAACAAATCAAGCACATAATGTGTGCCAGACATTTTGCTGGGTGCTGGATATTCAAAGACAAAACAAAAAATTGTCCCTGCCCTCATGGAGTTTACATTCTATCAGAACTGAGAAGGGAGTCCTATTCATATAAGAGAAATAAATGGAAGAATCCATTCTAATTTGGCTGCATCTCTTTAGTGATCAGAATTAGTAATGTTCTTAGGGCAATGAATACACAACTTTGCATTGTTCTCACTTGGTAGATAGGCAGTCTGAAGCAGGATTAGGTGAAGCCACTTTGATGCCAGGTCATGAGGCAAATGAAAACCAGGTGGCATAACCAACCAGGCAAACCTGGGACCAAACCTAGACTTGGCTTTCTCATCAGAGTCCCGTACTGAAAGCATGAGCTCCCCTACCTGCTCCTTGGAGACTTTTTTTTTTTTGTACAGCCACGCTAGATTTCCTTCCTCTTTGCCCTGAAGGGAAAATCCCAGGGACCAGAGAGTGAGCTTTGGGGTAGAGCCAGCTAGGCCCCCACCCCTGCACAGTGTCTCTAAAATGGTCCTAACCAGGGATTGTTTTCCCACCTTGTGTAACGTGTGCTCCCCTTTTACAAAGTGAAACTATAATCACAATGACTGTAGTTTGATACAAAAGTTCGGAAGAAAAGAAAATCATTAGGTTCCTGTTGGAGGGATCCCTGTTTCCAGGCTAATAAAAGCCTGAGGATAACACAAACATGGTGACTATTTTGTTGGCTTGCTGGGAAGGCTGAGTTTACATTTGACCCCCTGCCCCCCTTTTTCCCCTCCTCCTTCCCCTGGTGAGTTCACCTCATAGAATCCATGAAGAAAAGTCTAACTTAAGGGAAGTGACACTTATTAACCAGGGACATTTGCTTCTTACCTTACTCAGGCTTTCTAGGGTCAGACACAGCAGGGGGCAAATTAGTATCTGTCTGTCAAGTTGAGGTGCCATAAGGTTTTTGCATTTTGGAGGGAATGAGAGGATGGATCACTTTTTTTTTTCTGTTATTATATTTTAACATTTAAAAATTGTTTTATTTTTTTAAAAAAATCTTATTTTCAATTCCAAATTCTTTCCCATCCTCCATCCCTCCTTTACCTACTGAGAAGGCAAGAAATATGACAATTGATCGCTCTTAAAAGCTCAGTCTAGAGCCTATGCCTGCTTTGTGAAGGGCACCCATACCTCTATTGCTAATCACTCAGGGCCAGTTACATTATTTTATGGTTGGTCTAGTTTAGAGGGTCAGCAAAGTTGGACCCAAAGGCCAATGGGCTAAGAATGTTTTTTATGTATTTAAGAATTAAAAAAAACAAACAACAAAACCTGAAACCATTCTTAGCTTGCCAATTGTATAAAAACAAACTCTGGCAGGATTTGGCCCTTGCATTTCAGATCCCTGGTCAGATGACCAGAAGGCCAGATGACATGTGGCCTTGTAGGTCCTTGGGTACAGCCTTTTGACTGAATCCAAATTTTGCAGAACAAACCCTTTTATTAAGGGGATTTGTTCTGTGAAGTTTGGATTCAGTTAAAGGGCTATACTTGAGGACCTAGAGGGCCTTGAGGCTGCAGGTTCCCCATCCCTGCCCTAAATCATCTATCCCTCTAGTTTTTCACATAACGAAACTGAGACTCAGAGAGGTTAAGTGCCTTGTCCAGAGCTGAGATTTGAATTCAGGTCCTGTGACTCCGGACAACAGATTTCTTCTGCGCCATGTTTCCTCTGTAAAAGCTACCAAGTATGGAGGCATCATTTATGTATCCTCTTTATAACCTCACCTTACACTCCAAGTTTCTCTACATGTTGGAAGACATCACTACACGTCTTTCTCAGCCTTCTGTGGCAGTTTGAGGCAAGCAGGAAGGAATGACTCACAGCTACAGAGGTAGTACTGTAATTTATCTTTGGCCAGTTTGCCCTAAACCTGACACATTAATTGTGCCTCTGCATGCCCATGTGCTGTTACCTTGATGTTTTAAATTAATTAATTTGGAGAAGTATACTAATAACAACTTTAATTTACGTATATCTTTAAGGTCTACAAAACACGTTCCTCCCAGCAACCCTAGGAGGGGGCAGTACAAGTATTGTTACCCCCAGATTAGGAAACTGAACCCCGGTGAGATTAGGTGACTTGCCTAGCATTTGCTAAGTACTTCCTGTATGCTTGGTAGTAGGTACTATTACATGCTTGTTGGATTAGATTGTGCCAGAGGCATGATTTTAGACTGAATTCTTGCAGCTTTAACACTAGCATGGTTTCTACACATTACAGCGGCCTCTCTATAGAAGCTGGGGCTCCTACTGAATGCTAATACTAGCTGTGTGACCCTGGACAAGTCACTCAACCCTGTTTGCTTCAGTTTCCTCATCTGTCAAATGAGCTGGAGAAGGAAATGGCAAACCACTCCAGTACTTTTGCCAAGAAAACCCCAAATGGGATCATGAAGAGTCAGACATGACTCAAAAATGACTGAACTGAAAGTGTAATGTTGGATTTGGAACCCTGGCCCTAGGCTTTGCTAACTTCTGGGACAGAGGTAAAAATGTTTGTGTGTGTGTGTGTGTGTGTGTGTGTGTGTGTGTGTGTGTGTGTGTGTGTGTGAGAGAGAGAGAGAGAGAGAGAGAGAGAAAGAGAGAGAGGCAGAGAGAGGCAGAAAGAGGGAGAGAGAGAGAGATGGCTGTGAGTGTTGTAAGTGAGGGAAAGAGAGGTCCATTTGCCCAGACCACAGTGGGTGTTATAATAAAACTTAGAAGATAGCCTCTTAGATACTTCCCCCTCTCTTTTCCCCTCCCAAGATTCCCTAGGGGACACGAAGAAAGCAAGAATAGACAATGTTGTAATCCAAATGTTTAATGTTCATCATTTGATATTTATATATTGTTCTGAGTACTTTGAAGGAAAAGTTCTATTAAAATTAACAAATTGTAAGATTCAGATATGATTAGAAATGGAGAATCAGTTAATCAATAAGCATTTATTATGTATCACTTACAAGAACTAGGTGGTTGCTAGGGGTACAAGCAGAAAAGTGAGATGGTCCCTGCCCTCAAGGAGCTTATCTTCTACAAAGTCAAGCATTTGTTAAGTACTTGCTACTGTGCCAGGCACTGTGCTAAACAGTGGAAGGTGAGACAGCATGGTCACCGATACAGAAATACAGGATCAAAGCAAGAGACTGGTAATGGTTGAATATGTGTTCACCTAGTTGGTGTGATCTGAGGGAATTTCTAGGGGTATCATCCCTATCCAGCTGTTACTATGTTGAAAATTATAGGTTTCACTCTCTAAATAGTCCTCATAAAATGAAAATACTTAATTCAGATAACACATGCAGTTAGCATCATCTTAGTGTGAATTAGCTTATCATTTAGGGAAGAAAAAATACATTTATTAAGCACCTCTTATAAGCCAGGCACTGTGCAAAGTGGTTTACGAATGCTATCTCATTTGATTCTCTCAACAATCCTGGGAGGTAGGTGCTGTCGTGATCCCCATTTTTTTTTTTTGGCTAGGCAATGGGGTTAAATGACTTGCCCAGGGTCACACAGCTAGTAAGTGTCAGATGTTTGGTCTAAGGTCAGATTTGAACTCAGGCCGTCCTGACTCCAGGGCCGGTGCTCTATCCATTGTGTCATCTAGCTGCCTAGTCCCCTTGCATCTTAGTCTTGTCCCTCTCCATAGTATCTTCTACACAGCTGTCATATTGACATCTTAAAAGCACAGGCTTAGGTGGTGCAGTAGATAGAGCACCAGCCTTGAAGTTAGGAGAACCTGAGTTCAAATGTGACCTCAGACCAAACACCTGACACTTGCTAGCTGTGTGACTCTGGGCAAGTCACTTAACCCCAATTGCCTAAAACTTTAAAAAAATCACAGGCTTCTCTCCATCGCTTCTGCTTAAGAAGCTTCAATGGCTTCCCCATTATTAGCTATCATTTTATATCCTTACACCCTAAATATTTGGTTCAATTCATAATGACTTAAATATATTATTCTGAACAAAGTTTTATAATTTGACCCATGTAGCTGAAAGCAGCCCAGAGCTTAAGCTTTGTGCCTCGCATCTGCTTATCACATTGTACTTTGCTTTATAACTATTTATACTGTCTTATAATCACTACTGATTGCAAGTTCCTTGAAAGCAGAGATTCAGAAATAACTATTTTTGTATGGCATACAAAGTGCCTAGCATAGTGTTGGAGTCTGGAAAGTCAGATGCACAGCCAGGTGCATGAAGTTTGGCTGGCCTGGGGCCCTCCCCAAAATGGAGGCTTTAGGAAGAATTCACAAGTAGGAGAGATCTGGCAAAACATGGGACTTTTCCAGGATGAGAGGTCCCAAGGCTCTGAGGAAGTTTCCAGGGTGCAACATAGCTAGTTAAATGTCTGCTGAAGGGGATAAAAAGTTTAGCTAGCACAAGGTTCTTGCCCTCATGGAGCTTAGTGTGTATAGTAGGAACATCATACAAACACAGGTGACCAACATACACAGTATTACATGACACTTGCATTAGAGAGGTAAAAGACAAAGTGCCGTGTGAAGTTGGAGGGGGGAAGGCTGTTACTTTCTAGGGGAATCAGGAAAGAATTCTTGTACGAGCTTCCATTTCCATTGATGTTCAATCTCTTCTTCTTCCTCTTCTTCCTCCTCCTCCTCCTCCTCCTGTTGTATGTGACTCTTCATGACTCTATTTGGGGTTTTCTTGGCAAAGATACTGGAATGATTTGCCATTTCTTTCTCCAGATCATTTTACAGATGAGGAAACTGAGAAAAACAGGGTTAAATTACTCGCCCAGGGTCATACAGCTAGTAAGTATCTGAGGTCAGATTTGAATTCAGGAAGAAGAGACTTCCTAACACCTGGCCCAGCCCTCTATCCACTGCCCCACCTTGCTGCCCATGCATTTCCACAGGGTTTGTATAAAAATACTAAATTGCTCAACTGAGCCATAAAACACTTGACACAAGAGAATCAACATCATTCATAATGGCCATTCCAACAATGCCTACAGTCCTCATGAAAAAAAAAAAGGATACTTATCTATTTGTTTGATGAGAAAATAAGATAATAGGAATTCCCTCCAGTGATATTGTTGGCAGCCAGTTTTGTATGAGCATAAACTTAGAACTGGAAAGGAGCTCAGAGGCCTTGGAGTCCAAGCATTGTATAGAGAAAACCGTGGTGGTGGTGGTGGTGGTAGTGGGGAGGGCTAAATGACTTTGCTATGGTCACATAATTAATAAATGCCTGAGTCAAGATTTGAACTAGGTTCTTCTACTAATGCTTCTATCTACTGGTTTGTATTCAGTTTCTTTCTCCATATTTCAAGAGGCAATTTGAGTGGGATATTGGAGACCTTGCAACTTTATAGGGGAAAAGAAGTAGAGGTTTCCTGAATGACTCTAGGTGGTTAAGACCCAGGTTTCCTATCTCATCATCATATTTCATTTAGGATATTTAATTCAGGATTGACTCAGTTAAGAGTGTCAATTACTAAGGCAACTTCCTTAAGCACCTGTGGGTTCTCTAATCCCAGTGTTGGCAAGGACTGAGTTTTGTTTTTTTTCTTTTGGGAGGGCTAAATAAAGCTGCCCTGAGTTGACTGGCAGCAGAGATCTGGAACAGTTTGTTTGGAGATCATGCTGATTATCCTAATCAGATGGGTAATGAGAGAAATTGCAAGAAGCATTCGTGATAAGGATTTCATGGCTACTCTTTCTCTATTCTGTTCTTCATGCGAATGTACAGTTAAGGAGGGTGTAGTTCCTGCCGCTTTTTACTGTTCAGTATTTTGTTCCCAATTAATTGTGGGCTTAATTGTGTAGTGGTTAGAATCTGACTGAGAACTTTCCGAGTTTTCTTCTTGCCCTGCTTTCTCTTCTTCTCTTTATTTGTTTTCATGCCCCTATTAAAATCTATTCTTTAGGACATGGGAATAATAGAAACATTTCACATTTTTATAGACTCAAAATTTGTAAAACACTTTACACTATTAAGTAATTAATTTTCTATTAAATGTTATATTGATGACTTTTATTTTTCACATATTTATGTATTTTTTGTTTTTGTTTTTAGGCAATTGGGGTTAAGTGACTTGCCCAGGATCACACAATTAGTAAATGCCAAGTATTTGGTCCGAGGCTGGGTTTTAATTCAGGTCCTTCTGACTTCAGGGCTGGTGCTCTATCCACTGCACCACCTAGCTGCCCCTCACATATTTATGTAAACGTCATTTCCCCCTAGAAATTCAACTCTATGATAAAGAAAAACAATTAAGTGCATAATCTGATAACAGAAACTTCATTTGACAGTGTGTATAACATTCTGCCCTAGCAGTCTTCTCTCTGCTCTCTACCATCAGGAAAAAGGTCACATTATAATTTATACTAAGGTGTACATGACTGATCAGGTGAAAAAATGTTACTTCTTCTGGAGTAAAGGGATTCTATCTTAAGCATGGTTTCTTGATGCCTTTTAACTACTAAAGTGATTGTTAATAAATGTTGAATTTATCTTTAGTGGTAGAATTAATTTTAGGCATGAGTAATAAGTAGGTGGGAAATTGTATTTTGGGGGCCCCTGGGACTCCAAATTACCCCAGTAGTCCTTGAATTACTTTTGCAGCTGGCCCTAAATTAAAATAGAATTCTTTATGTGATTTACTTTTTACTTTAGAAAGAGAGGGATATAGCTTTATTCAGTAGATTAGTGGTTGCTCAAAGGTGTTTTAATCACTTCCTAAATATGTCTTTTAAAGTGAACTGAAGTTGTAGTCATTTCTGCCTTTAAAGAAATACTGGGCTCATTTGTCAAGGAATGTCCCATGAATGTGTGTTGAAATGTGATTGGGGGCATCCACTTGTATATTTGTGAAGAAGACATTGTTTCTAAAGTTAGGTATGCTCTTGGTGCTGGTCTTCATTCTGCTCTGTCAGGGTGTATTTGCCAATGGAAATAGATACTCTTGAAAAAATGCTTGGTCATACTTTGGGAAGCCCTTTGCAAATGTTAGCTTCATGGTTCATTCTCAGTGCACTCCTTCCTTCCCCTTGTTCCTATTATTTGTGTTTGTCAGTGTGTAAGAGCTATTTCCCTGGTAGTGGCTACACAATACCAAACCTGCTTTAGAAGCCAGAAGTAGTAATTCAATCAACAGATTATTTTGTTTATACAATAACCCCACCCCCAACTCAAGAGAATTTCCCTCCATTCACTGATTTCTTGATTGCATTAAATAGTTTGCTCAGGTGCTTTAGAATCATATAAACAACCTTCTTTTTATCCAATGTCCCATGCATTGTTGGCATTTAATGCAACTTCAGTGTAAGCATAGAAAATATAACTCATCCAATCAACTAGCATTTCTTAAGTGCCTATTAGATGTTAGGCACTATGCTTAATTTAACCTTTCTGAGTCTCAGTTTTCTCATCTATAAAATTAAGTGATCCCTTCCATCTCTAGAGCTGTGATCCTACGGGGAAAAGTGTGACCAACTTTAATAAGCAACTACAGAGGACCCCAAACAGTCTATTTCAGCACCTTTCTCTCACTTAGTAGGGTAGGATAACTCTACTGAGAGCTCCTGAATACAAGGTTATAATCACCAACTCTGGTGGGAGTTACACATCCATCCAAATAATGACAAATAGGAAATGGATCTAGGATGTAAGAACACATTGATTATTTGTATTCAGGGTCCTGATACCTTAGGGAAAATGATTCTCAGGGAAGAATTTCATCTGTTTCTTTTGTTGTTCCATTTTTATTTACTTTTCCAGAGGCCACCAGATTAGTAATCCTTTTTGTAGGACTCAAGACTGGGGAGGAAGATGAAGCAAGCTCTTTGCCCGAGCCACACCCCCTCTTTGGTGAAGAGCCCTTTGCCAAAGGCATTATTTTATTTACCCAGCTCTACTGGCACTGTCAGAGAAAAGGCCCAGTTTTCTTGAGATTCTCTTCCTGATTTGCAGTGCAAAAGGGTTTGTATCTCCAAAGCAAACCTCTGAACCTATCTCTAATGTGGACTCTGTTTGCATGCTAAGTATCCTTTGGGATTTTGCTAGAGCCATCATTCCTGAGCATGTGCAGTGTCTGCTATTCCAAATGAAAGAACTAGTTTGTTTGTGTTTTAATTATCTCCTCTCACAAGATCTACCCAGCAGTATTGCTCCACACTGCTTGAAAGAATTCAATTAAAAAAAAAAAGCGAGACTTTTTTTTTTTTAAGTTACTGGAGTGCAGTCAGAATTGGATTGTGCCAGATTGTGAGGAGTCTTTTTTTTTTTTTTTCTGTTTCATATGAACAAATCTCTGTAAGGACCAGGTTATGGAAATGTAGGTGTGCAAAATGATTTTTATCTGGATGTTTGGAGACCCTCTGGTCAGCGTGGTTAAGGCTGGGGGAGAAGGGCACTGTGAAAATCTAGTGGTCCTTGCAAGGCATTAGCTGTTCATTATTTGTGCCTGGGTAATTAGAATAAAAACAGGGCTGGTAGGCACCATGAAAAATCATCTAATTTATCCTTCACCTTCAGGCAAGACCACATTGCAAATTATCCAAGACAGAAATAACCATAACATTTTAGATTTGGAAGAGAGACCTAAAAGATCATCTTTTACAATCCCCTGGTGCATAGATGAGGAAACTGAAGTCCAGAAAGGTCAAATTACTGCTTGGTATCACAAGAAATCAGTAGCATACACTTTTATTTATAAAGCCTCTAGCTACTCCCCCGATAAGACAATGAGATTCTTCAATCATCCTTGAAAATTTACAACTCATAGATTAGGAGAAAGAGTTGGAGTTATAATGGACCTCAGAAACTTCTCATTTTATAGATGAGAGAACTGAGGCCTAGGGAACTTAAATGACTTGTCAAAGATCATACATGTTGTAAGCATACATAAAAACAATTTTTAACATTCATTTTACAAGATTTTGAGTTCCAAGTTTTTCTCCCACTCTCCTTTCCCTCCCCTCTTCCTCAGTTAGTAAGCAATTTGATATAGGTTATATATGTGCTATCATGCAAAGCATGTTTCCATATTAGTCATGTTGTTGTAACACCTATCTTATAGGATTGTTAGGGGAATCAAATGACATGCTTACATAAAGTAACATATAAAAGTTAATTATTATTCTCTAATTCCTGGAACGTTTCTGTCTCACCTACTTTTTCAGTCCTACCTCTCCTTCCATGAGAAATCTCATGTTCAAGGAACCATTGGTGATATGCTGCAGCCTATCTATATCCACCTTCATTTTTTTCTCATGGGGAATATTTAGTAAAGTATTTATTACTTTTAAGATATAATGCGCATTTGAACCAGCCATTAGAGAGAATGAACTGAATCTTCTTAGCTTTGTCTATCCCTGACTTTCATGTGGTAAAGATTGAATGTTAGAGGTCAAGAGCCAGATCTTGGGAATTTCTCTTGAGTCTTCCTGGCCTGACCCATTACTTCACTTTCTTCTCTGTCACTTTATTTCTGAAGTAGACAGTGATTCTTAGTTCAGTCAACCACTACTGATTTAATGAAACCCCTCATCTGAAATTATTTCCCCTACCAACCACCAAAAGAGATCCATCCATTTCAGTTAACTGCCACTAGGCTCACTGTTAAAAGGCAAATGCCCCTTGAATGGGTTTTCATTCCTTCATCAGCTATTTGCCCCATTGTGTGTTTATTTACCAATTTTTTTTTCAACCTGATAGCTAGAGGATAGCAGTGTCTCTGTGAAGAAAACCCAGGAAAAGCAGGTTTTGATAAAGGAAAGATGGAATCATAGATTCATAAAGCTTCTGATATAGAGGGGACCATCTAGTATAACCAATTCATTTTGCAGATTATAAAATTGAGCAGAGAGGATTGCAGGATTTAGAACTAGAAAGGACCTTCTAAGTCAGTCTTGTCCAGCACCCTTATTTAATAGTTGAGGAACTGGGAACCCAAAGAGGTTAAGTTAATTGACCAGGGTCACATAGGTAGTAAGTAGCAAAATCAGGATTTAAACCAGGATTTTCTGACTCCAAATCAATGTTTTTTTGTTTTTAAATTTCATCAGGCTGGTTGTGATGTAAGGCTGAATGAGGGGATAAAGAGGGAGAGAGGCTATGAATAATAATTGGGCAGAATGAGGGCATTGGGTACCTGGATGGAGAAGGCACCAAGGTACCAAGGATGAGGAGAAAGGCATCATTCATAATATGGAGTAGCCTTGGGCATTCACTTAAGTTCTCTGGGCCTCAGTTTCCTCATCTGTAAAATGAGAAGATTGGGATAGATGAGCTATAAATTCCCTTCTAGCTAGGTAGGATTCAATTTTTGGTCTAGTTCATTGAAAAGAAAGGTGAGAGACTCCTCATTCCTCCCTCCTCCCTCCCTCCCTCCCTCCCTCCCTCCCTTCCTTCCTTCCTTCCTTCCTTCCTTCCTTCCTTCCTTCCTTCCTTCCTTCCTTCCTTCCTTCCTTCCTTCCTTCCAGCAGTATGCTTATACATCTCTGCTTTGTAAGGGTTTATAATGGAAATGTTGACACAACTTTGAAGTATAGCAGCATGAAGAGAGTTGTTCTAATAAATCTCTTTTCTAATCCTTGGAGAAAACCTAAAGGAGAGATTCACTTTCTCTATCAGGTTTCATTCACTGAAAGGCTTCTGAAGATAAAGCTCATAAACTATGCAGGAACAGATACAATGTGGACTAAAGGGTTAAAGGGCTGGAGAAAGCTCAGTAATTCTCAGAAATGGGAAACAGATGTTGTTTGACATTTTGAAAGCACAGTTTCCTTCTCTTTTACACACCTTTCTGATATCCTGGGTTTCAAAGCAGAAAAGGGGAGATAGATACATCACTGCAAATGAAAATTGTTCTACAGTGGGTTTCCTCTATTTGGGTAATAAAGGAGCTAAATATTAATACTAATTTTATTTTATATGGTCCCTTTTCATAGAGCTGGATCACAAACTGCTTTTCAAGTATGAATGCTATTGATATTATTTGCTAAACCCCCCAAAGAATTAAATCAATGTTAGCTAATTATCATGAATAAATATTGTAGTTAGACTGCAGGGCACTTCAGCTCAGCTTGTGCCTACAAGCTTCCTAACATGTTAATTTCTGCTACTGGGGGAACTGCCCTGGTCTGCACTGGCTTCGGTGACCTACCTACAGCAAACACCTGCAGCTCCCTGCCTGCAGGTATAGACTGTTGTATTATGCATTTCTGAAAGAGGCAGAGATCATTTTTAAGAAAGGGTGGTAGTGGTGCTTGTGGTGTAACCCCGTTTTGGGAGGTGAGATCTGAAATGAAACGGTCCCAGGGGACCAGAAGGCTGTTCCAAATGGCAGTTACTGGAGAGAGCGAAGCGACAGGATTGGGACGGAGGGGCAGAAGGCAGAGCTGCAAGTGACTGAGCAGCTAAGGGGGTGGAATTTTACAAGCTGTGAAAACGGAACCTCTTTGCTCTCCCTGTTTAATTTGAGTGGCTGCCTGCTGCCAATAACGATATGTACTTCAGCTTATTGAGATATAAAATAATCATGAAGGATTCCTATCTTGGATCGCATTGGTTCAGGGAAGGAGACTGGTTCAAAGGAAGTGATGAAGCAAGTACCACTGTGAAAAGGAGGGCTAGAACAGTTTTGAGGTTCCCGGCTTTTTTTTTTTTTGGTTGATGTTCTCTCTTGCTTGGTCGCAGATGCTTTCTCCCCCCCCCCCCCATTGCCCATTTATCTCTAGAGTGTGAATTTTATTTGTCTTGTTAAGTCCAGTGACTGGAGACTGAGCCTGCCATATACTGCTTAGTGTCTTGTGAAATCCCCAAAAGTCAGACAGTACAATATTATGAAATGATCAGTTCTTGAACAAAGCTGGTTAGTCAACCAGCAGCCCAATGTTTTCTAGCGTGTAATCTTGTTCAAGATTTCTTTTTTAAGGTGGAAAACAAAGGACTGTACATTCCTTTTCCGGCATGCTAAATTCACATTTAGTTTGCTCATATATATATATATATATATATATCTCAATGCATTTTGCAAGCATTGTTTCATCTGAGGTAAACAGTTGGGCAAAGAGTAGTGGATTGAAAAAGAGTCTCAAAGTAGGAAGACCCGGGTGGTCCTGAGCATGCCGCTGGAACTCTCAGTGGTCTAGGCAATTCCCTAAGACTGAGTTGTAGACAAAAAAAAAATTCCATTAATATGGGGAGTTTCCTCATCCAGAGTTCCTTATGGAATCATAGATCCAGTCCCTGTCTCCATCCCTTATTAAAGTCTATTCCTCTTTCTAAAGCTACTTTTTCCATGAAGTGTTTCTTGACTGTCCCAGCTGTGTCTGTGTCTCTTTGTGTTTGTCTCTCTCTCTGTCTCTCTGTCTCTCTGTCTCTGTCTCTGTCTCTGTCTCTGTCTCTCTCTCTCTCTCTCTCTCTTTCTCTCTGTCTCTCTCTCTCTCTCTCTGTCTCTCTCACACACACACACACACACACACACACACACACGCACACACAGAGTCAGTACCACTTATTTAACTATCATAGGCACATAGATATAAAGGAGGAAGGGGTCTTAAACAATACCTACTTCATCCCCTCAATTTACTTGTAAGACCTGGGGAAGTCTAGTGACTTCATCACACAAACAGTAATCATCAGAGGTAAAATTTGAATCCAGTTCCTCTGATTCCAGAACCAGTGCTCATTCTACTGTACTGCGCTGTTTCCTTTACCGTTAATTATATTTTTGTATTTATGTTCCTATTAGGTTCTCAACTCTTTGAGGACAGGAAATATAGGTCTGAGATCATTTGTATGCACAACCTTTAGTGCAGTGCCTTTATGGGCTTCTTAAGAAGTATTTGGGAACAATGACTCAACACAGCTTTCTATGAAACCTTAAGGATTAGCTAAAAGCTGCAGAAGTAATTGTAATTCTTCTTAGGTCCATTTCCTGTTTTGTTTTAATCTTCTGTCTTGTTTTTTGTTTGTTTGTTTTAGACACTGCCTTGTCTCTTTAAGTTCAGGTCTAGCAAGCAGGAGCTCCTGCAGCCTGGATATATATTATATTCTAGGACCCAATAGGTTTAGGAATTGACACTAGACATTTTCTTCAGAAAACAAAATAAAAATCTTGTGTTTATGACATGGGAAAATATACCATTCAGAGACGCCCACAAGATGATAATCTGAAAACTGCCAAAAGAATGGGCTGTCCTGTGGCCTTTCTTCACATGCTGATATCTTTTGTCATCAGATTTATGTCAATTGTCAGGCTTACCCGTCTGCTCACCCGCTGGTAGGTCAGCCTCATGCATTTTGATGGCTTCAGAGGAGCAAAGAAACTCACAGCCATCGAGGGCACCTTTTGCAGCTCTCTTACAAAGCAGCAGAGGACCAGGAGAGTTCGTGAGGCCAGCCACTGGGCTGGAAGGGCTTTCTAGGGTGAAACGCTTCGCGTGGAGCTTCTTGTTTGGGGGGAAAAAGAAAAAAAAACCCTGAGAAAAGTGATAACTAAAGGATTTATTGTCATCTTTCTGATGGCAATCCTACTCAAAAGCTGTAAAATACTGTACACACATTCACATGTATGGCAGTATGTGGGGTTAGTCTGATCTCCTAAAACAGATGGATACAGTCTCTCTCTCTCTCTCTCTCTCTCTCTCTCTCTCTCTCTCTCTCTCTCTCTCTCTCTCTCTCTCTCTCTCTTTCTCTCTCTCTCTCTCTCAGCTCTGTCTGTCTCTGTCTTTGTTTCTCTGTCTTTGTCTTCTCAATTACCTGAAAGGAAACAGTGAGTTAGACTACTGAGAAAATCCTTTTACTGCATACTTCTTCTCTTAGAGAAATTTGCCTAATTTCTTAACTCTTAGAGAAAAGGCCAAATAATACTATGTTTCTGTATCACTTTCTAGACTCATAGAATGTTAGATCTGGAAGTCAGTCAGTCATCATTTATTAAGTGCTTACTATGGGGCTGGGAACTGTACGAAGTAAGCACTGAGCATACAAAGAAAGGCAAAAACATAGGCCCTGTCTTCAAGGAGCTCAGATTCTAATGGGGGAGTCAATCTGCAAAAAATTATATAAACACATGTATACACACATGTACACAATGTATATATATATATACATATATGCACATCTATAGGTATATGCATGTGTATATCTATATCTATATTTATAGAGAAAATATGGAGGGAACCATAGATATTATCTAACTCAACACTTCCATTTACCAGATGGAGGGCTGAATAAAGCTCCAGAGATGATTGGTTTGACAGAACTCAGTCAAATTATTTTATGATCATAATTTAATTTAATCAAACAAATTAACAGAGGCTCTCATGACCCAGGTTGAAAAGAAATCAGGCAGTGGCTTAAAGGGAATTGAATTAGCTTTGTGTTTTTAAAATGACCATTTCTGTTCAGCTTTTTATGGGCTTATACTCCCATCTCCAAATGTGTTTACTGGGAAACATAATTGTGTCTACTCAGACTAATGCAATGGGAAAGACTAGATCTGGCCAAGGAAAGGGTGGGAAATGCTAGTGGAAGGTATAAGTGGGAAATACTCTTTAGTAATGACCTAATTTATCCTCAGTTTATTTTTTGGCTAGTTTAGGGTTAATGCTTATTTTATAGTTAAAAACTTGAGGCAAAGAAAATTTAAGTATTTTTGCTTAGGGTTATATCACAAATTCTACTCCCTGGGAATAGTATTTGTATATTTAGTTGAATGTATGAAACATTTGACCATGACACCTTCATTTTAGGCCAATTGAAATTGTAAAAACAAAGCGAAACTGATGTAAATTTAGAAAATTCAGAAAAAAATTTAGAAAAGTTGTTCTTCTAGACTAATTCCGGTTTCAGTTGGTAATCACACATTTGTGTTTTTTCTCTCTTTATTTCCCCTTTCCTCTCAAACTCTTTTTATTTGTGCTAATTTGCTGTCATAGTTCTGCTGTTAAATGTTCAACAAATTCCAAATGACTGTAACTATCCATGTCTTGCTTTGTAATGAATTCTTTCATGCTGTAGGAACAGTATGGTGTTTGAAGCAGATAGAGAATTAGATTTTAATCATAAGATCTAAGTTCCAGTCCTGATCTTGCCTCCTTCGACAAGGTACTTCATGGTATGAGCCTCAGTTTTCTCATCTGTAAAATAGGAATAATAGTGCTTATAAAATCTGCCTTCCAATATACTATAAAAATGTGAGCTACTGTTACTAGAAAGGGCTTATTAAGTATTTGTTTAACAAATAAATGCATTTCTTCCTTTGAATGCCTTCATTTGTTTAAGGAAAATTCAACATCATGGAGGAGGAATAATGAAAAGTACATTGAAGGAAGTTGAGACTAGGAAAGAGGCCCCAAAGCAGTGAGGAGGAGTGGGAGGTCAGAAGTGTTCATTCATTCATTCATTCATTAAACAAATGTTGACTGAATTCCTACAGTGTGAAAGACACCGCTAGGTGTTGAGAGGTATATGAAGATGAATGGCGCCTTGTCTCTGCTTTTGAGGAGCTTACATTTTAGTAGGTATGCCAGTACAGGGCAATGTTGATGGAAAGGTTATTCTTCCCCTTCCCCCAACCCCTCCAAACCTGTTTCATTTCATGCCTATTGTTACTGACCCTTCAGAGTTCATAGGATCACAGATTTACAGTTGGAAGGGGCCTTAGAGGTCCTCTAATCTACCCTTCTGATTTTACAGATGAGGAAACTGAGGCTTAGAGAGGTAAATGACTCGCCCAAGGTCACACAGATATTAAGTGTCAGGGCTGTGATTTGAATTCAGCTCTTCTCCAAATCCACGTTCTTTCCACCACACCACACTGCCTCACTAATTCCCTTGTTCTCCCCCCCGCCTTTTTTTTTCTGGACAGGAAAAATGGCCTCTACTTTTAGTACTTAGGGAAATAAAATGGGGAGGAGATCTTAAAGAATCCTCAACCTGTGTCAGCCTCCTTTGATAGGCTCCAGCATTGATCTTTTGATTTGAGTAATTTCTTTCTCTAGTTGGAAGGTGAAAGGAGAAGAGTGAAGGGCATTCAAAACTCCAAACTGACCTATCTACGACTTTATGCCATAGAGCTTCCAAATGCTTAAAAGAGAACAGCAAAACAGCAGCAACACCAGTTTACATGTGTGTGTTTTTTTAAACTTCCCTCAGAGGGTACTCCCGATTTCTCCCATCCATGTCTTTTATGTACCTGATCTATGGCATGTCTTCTCTTCCATTAGACTGTGAGCTCCTTGAGAGTAGGGGTGATGTTTTTTTGTGTTTCTTTGCAGCCACAGCATTCATCACAGTGCCTGGCTCATAGCAAGTGCCTAATAAATGCTTGTTGACAACTTCTTAAAAGTACTTTTGCATGTTCCTAATTAATTTTCTGTATGTATAGGCTGCAAGCTTCTTTAAGCAGATAGACAGATTCCCTTTGAACTTAATATTAGCCATGAAGCTATTTTCTGACCTGTCATTTAGTTGTTCATTGCATCAGTGAATTTGGAAGGAAATTTTTGGCCTATTGGTTATGAATGAAGCATATAATCAGTTTGGGTGGGGGGGTGGGGAGGTTGGGAGGAGAAAAAAAAAAAAGAGGTCACCCATCTGTAAAACAAGAGGTTCTCATCAGCTGAAAGAATGGCCTGGGCCCTTGAGGACTGGGCTTCTCTACAGCTAAGGAAGAGAGGACTACAGCTGTAAGTCTGTCTCATCTCTTTTAAATCCTGCCCTGGTAAATTAGATACTTGATGGCTTTCAAATGCACACAGGCAGCTTGTATCTGTAATGACTGACAGGCTGGGGAAATCTGGACCCCTATGGAATAATGGCCTTATAGAAAAGAAAAGAAAATGTTCTGATTAGATGTCATTGAGTGCTTTATTTGTACTATTCACTGCTCTAAATTACAAGGATACCATCCTGACCTGATCTATTAAAAGAACTTAAAGAAAGGTCTGAGACTGACAATGTGGGTTTTTATATAGTTCAGTCACAACTGAAGCTGGTCTTCATCCAAATTGGTTTGGTTGGGAGGTGAGATTTGGAGCCTGCAGTGAGAGGGGACTGGTACTATTCTCAAAGGCCCTGAAAGAATTTCTAAAGAGTCTCAATTTGGCCCCCAATTTAAAAAAAATTACCACTCTTCGTTTTCAAAGGCCCCCTTTAATAAGCTAAAACTCTCTTTTTTGGTCAGGTACTTTGGAGACAAGTTGGCTTCAAGGATGAGGGTGGGTTCATTTTTTCTGTGTGAGGAAATGACATCAGTAAGTGTGTAGACATATTTAGAAAATTTCCAATCAGGCATCTCATTGTGTTTTCAGATTTGTGTGAAAGTACTGCCTAATCTACACATATAGGACAGGAAAGGTCATTATCAAACACATAGTAGAGATGTTTTTATTTTGGCTCAGATATCTTATTTCATCATCTGGGCAGTAACTATGGTTGTCTGCATAATATTTTTGTATTTATCTAGGCAGCTATTTCTTAATACGGCCTTGCTAAAGAGAGTCACTCATCTTGCCTTGTTCTCTAGCTCAAATAGGGAGCTGCTTAAGGATGAATGACAGGAGATATGCAATTTTATGATATGCAGATTTAGAAATATGTTAGAAATGCTAATTATTTGCCTTACAGATTCTTTACTTCAATTTAATACATATATTAATTACCTACTGTGTGCAGAGCACTTGCTAAGCCCTGGAGGCGATTAAAAGTTTAGAGAAGATATTGTCTATGTCCTCATGGCATTAATAGTCTTTTGGGGGAATATGATACATATCATAATATTGCAAAAGATTTCTGGTTTGATTTCTTATTTAAATATTTAAATGTGCATTATATCAGCCATTACATTTGAATAATCACAATTGAAGCACAGGCATATATGTGATGAAATATCATTATGTGGGGACAACAGAAGCAGAGAAGAGATAGAAAAATCAAGAAACTGCACAGGACCTCAGAGTTGGGAGGGACCTCAGAAATCATTTGCTCCAGCTCATAGCTGAACACAAACTTCTCTACAACATCCTGAACAAGTGGTCAAACAGTCTTTGCTTGAAGACCCATAGTGAGAGAGAACCTACCTCTCACTCAGGCCCGCTTTAGGATAACTCAGATTGTTAGGAAGTTTTCCTAACCTGCTTGACAAGAGGTAGCTAGATAGCTTGAGGGGCAAGAACATGGGGCCTTGAGTTCAAGAAGGCCTAGTTCAAATGTGATTCCAGACACTTATTATCTGTGTGACTCCAGGCAAGTCACTTAATCTCAGTTTCCACAGTTGTAAAATGGGAATGATAATAATTGCACCTACATCTCCAGGGGTTGTTGGGAAGATCAATGGACATAATATTTGTTGAACTGCTTAGGTCAGTGCTTGGCACATAGATTTTTAATAAATGCTTATTTCCTTCCTTCTTTTTTCTCTTTGAAGCATGACAGCCCTTCAAGTATTTGAAAACAGCAATTAGCGTGACTCTCCCTAGGTATTCTCTTCTGTAGACTTGAAATTCACAGTTTTAATACTGTGACCTCTGGGCCCTTCACAATCCTAGTTGGGCTCCTCTAGACTTTTCCAATTTATCATGATTTTTCCTTAAATGTGGTACAGACAACTGAACCTCATAGTTCAGACAGAATCTGACCAGTATAGAACATTTTTATTTCTTTGTTCTGTGTGCTCTACCTCTCTGAATGTAGGTTAACACTGTCTTAGCTTTTGGGGCTACTGCATCACACTGTTAAATAATATCAACCTTAGAGTCCACTCAAATTTGATGGTCATTTGTGGTAGAATTGCTGACTTCAAAGGTCAACTTAAGAGCATCCTCTTCTCTGATTTCCCCAACTGTTAGTGCCTCCTTCCACCCCACCAGATTACTTTCTGTTTACTTTGAATTAAAAAAAAATAATGTGTACAAGTTAAATTGTCACTTTTTCTGCCCTTTTCATAATTAATTGCTTAATATGAAAAGGACCTTAAAGAGAATGTGTGCTTTTCCTGATAGACTAAATTCCTTGAAGGCAGTAATATTTTTTTTTCCTTTTGTATCCTTGGCTTTTAGTTACTAAGAGCTTAATAAATCCTTAATAAGAGGATTTGTTCTGTAAAACTTGGACTCAGTCTACAAGCCACACTCAAGGACCTAGAAGGCCATATGTGGCTTTGAGGCCATAGGTTCCTCACCTCTATCTTAGTACATTGCCTTAATGTGGCATTGCTTGGCATTAGTAAAGTCTTATTGATTGACTAAGTATCTAGGCACTCATCCTTTGTCTTATGCTTGTGAAGTTTGATTTTTTGAACCCAAGTATAGGACTTTTCATTTATCCATATAAAATATCATCTTACTAGATTTGTCCCATTCTTGGCTATCAAGAAATTTAAAGAATCCTCCCAGCTTTGTGTCATCTGCAAATATGATAACCATGCCATTTATTCTTTTATCCAAGCCACTGATAAAAATGTTAAAGAGTTTAGGGTCAAACTCCTGAAATAGTCCAGAAAAAGACTTCTTTTCAAGGTGACATTGAACTATTAATGGTTATTCTTTGCATCTGGCCCTTCAACTAGTTCCAAATCCATATAACTACAGTATGCTTCTCTGCTTTGTCCATACAAATAGCATGAAATACTTTTTCAAATCTTTTACAAAAATCAAGGTGAACCTACACCAACAAGAGTCCCCTGATCTACCAGTCTGGTAACTTTGTGAAGAGAAGGAAAGTAAATAAGTCTGGCATGCTCCATTCCTGATGTAGCCATATTGACTCTTTGTGGTCACCATTTCCTTTTCCAAATTGGAGCCCAGTGTTGCTTCAATGATATATTCTACATTTTTCCTAGGAATTAAAGTCAAACTCACCCAAGCAGACTGTGTTACATGTTTCCCATCCTTTTTTAAAAAATTGGGATAACTTTTTCCTTTTTTGTAGTCCTATGGTATATCTCTTCTCTCTTTTGCTCTCTTTTAAAGATCCTTATATTTGCTCTTGATTGAGGGCTTGATAGTAAAGTTCATTTGGGTCTGATGGCTTGATCTCATCCAGAGTAGTTAGGTGCTCTCTTACTCCCTATTTATACTTCCTATACTCCCTATTTATCTTTGGTTTATTATCCTTTTCTGTTTCATTCGTTCCTGTGTGAAGATTATTTTCTTTGAAGAGAAAACAGAAATGACATATAAATTGAGAAGTTCTGTCTTCTACTATTTTCTATCTATCCCTAGGAGTGATCTTTTTTTTTCTTTAATCATTGTCTATTTACCAAATATACTTAAAACTCCTCTTTTTTAAAAATCGTACTGAATATTCCTTACTAGCTTCAACTTATTTTAAGTTTTAGTGCTCCTCACCATGCCACAGTTTTTCATTTGTCTTTCATCATCTGCTTTTGTTTCCATATTCTGTTCATGTCTTTTAAAAATATGCTAGTGAGTTCCCACTGCAATCACACAGGTTCATATAGATAACTTCCCCTTTTCTTCTCTCTTTGAGTCCTCAAAATTGCATTTTTTGGAGTACTCCTCCATCATGGACTGAGTTTTCTTCTGGAATTATAGGCATGGGATCCTACCTATAGTGTATTGGGACTATTTGAAATCTCCTTCATCTAGGTTGCATGTCCGATTGTCCAGTTTTATTCTTCTAGGTCAAAAATTCTAAGGTTCAGTGTGAACTTCTCAAGGTTCTCATCATTTCTTCAAGTTACATCATTATTGGTTGGGAATCAGATCTAGGAGAACAGTCCTCATTGCTTTCTCTGCTTTTTTAAGGGATGAAGTTGCTTATGGGATGAGCTAATAACTTAATAGCTGCTCTGCTTTTTGGCAGAAAGGGAGCAGATGCCCAGATAATGGAAACTCTGGATCACTACTATGTTGTGCCTCTAGGCTTGTGGTCTGTTTCCTGAAATACTCATCTGTTTCATCTTTCTGTATTATGGTGTGCAGGTAAACGTTTAACAACCAACTTTCCCCTCCACCTCCACCCAGAAAATGGCAGGATACATGTTTAAGTTTAATTTGTATTACTAATACTTCCTCTATCACTTTCTTAAGTCTAAACAATCAACAAACCAACAGAGGTATAAATGCTTACACTAAAAGTTTAACAATCAGATCTCCAGAGCTGGTTCCAGTTGACTGCATCACATTCCTGGTACAGGTGGTTTGTGGGATGCTCCAGTGACATAATTTCTGCTGGTGCCTCCACTGATCTTTGCCCAGATACTCTCCATCACCTTAATCCTGGATTTCCTCACCTGAATATTTTTTTCCTAATAGAGCATGCTCCCTGCCCCTCCCCCACTTTTTAATCTTCTTCCTCTAGAATAGTTTGTACTCTTCCCATGCCACATTCCAGTCATGGTTCTCATCTCTTCAGCTCTCAGTGACACCTATTATCTCGAATTTGTCTCCTCCAATTAGGATCTGTGTTTCACCTTACTTGCTATCCATCCATATATCTGAGGTCATAAGTTTTGTTGCTGTCTGCTTTCTTGAATTTTGTCAGCTGAATATTTGGATTCTTTCATTTTCCAACATTGTAACTTATCTCTTTGGTAGCTAGGTTGGTGTATAAACACATATGTATGTATGTATCCACATATATATGCACACACATATGCATATATATACATAAACACATATGTGACAGCATGTCCCATTCATATATTTTATATATATATAGTCTCACACTCATATATGTCTTTGTTTATTTTATTTCAGAAAGAATTCCTGGTAGGGAAATTTCTACCTCCAATCAAATCAGTACATTCTTTGGAATTCATAGTTTTAGAGACTTTCCTGGTGACACTGAGAGATTAAATTACAGACCCAGGGTCTTACAGCAAGGATGTGTCAGAGATACAACTTGAACCCAGACCTTTGAAAGGCTGTGTGTTGTAGTGGATAGAAGGCAATGTTAGGCTTCAGTTCTTCTGAAAAAGATCTCAGGGGACTGCAAGCTCAGTGTGACTTAATAGTATGCTAGTATTAGTATGTTAATTAATAATAGTATGCTAGTATGCAGCCAAAAATTCAGTACATTGCTGGGATGCATTGAGGGGAGCACAGCCTCCAGGAATATAATAATACTGATAACAACAGCCTTAATAATAATATTTATGTAGCACTTAATATGTTCTAAGTACTGTGCTAAGTGCTTTATAATTATCATCTCATCTGATCTTCATAACAATCTCAGGAGGTAGGTGCTGTTATTATCCCTATTTTACAGATGTGGAAACTGAGGCAAATAGAATTGAGTGACTTGCCCAGGGTCGTATAGCTAATAAGAGTCTGAGGCAGGATTTGAACTCGGGTTTTCCTGACTACAGAGCCAGCACTCTGTACTATTCCATGTAGTCAGGAACCACTAAATGGAACTCCTGTTCCATTTAGCTACCCAACAGCAATAAGGAAGTGCCAGCCCTTCTGAACTTTAGCCCGATCAGATTACGTCAGGAGTACTGTGTTCACTCCTGAAATCTGCCTTTTTCTTCTCAGACCTTTGCCTTTGATAGGCAACTGCAATAAAATCGCTGCCTGTGCCTACAAGACCTTCCACGTTTCCTCCTAGGGCTTCATAATGTTCGTCTGTGCTTTCTGGACTTTTTTTTTTTTAAAGCAATATCTCTCATATGTGCCCACATAGATCACTAGAAATGAAGAAGCAGTCTTCAAGTCTTCTGAATCTGGAAAGATTTAGGTTTCAGATACAAGTCTTTTGGTTCAGACAACAGACCTCTGTACAGTTATTCTAAGTTCAGTAAATAGCTAGGCGCAATGCCCCTCAGCAAAGAGTCACCAAACACCATAGGTTGTCTTTTTTTTTTTTTCCCTCCAGAAGAGTTCTTACCTTACCACTCCTGGAGAGCTACAATGAGCTTCCTCTCAGCTCCTTGGCTCTTCAGAAATATTCCAGAAAGATATTATGTATCATCAGGTGCACTGAAAGTAGACAACAGGAGTCAGGTCACCTCCACTCTGTCTAACATTATCCCCTTTAAGCAAGGTTACCTTTCAAGCTACTTGAAATCAGATGGAGATGGTGAGGAATAAGGCCTGATTAGACCTAAAGATTTATTGAAATCCCTTGCAAAAATGCAAGTCCCACCTCTTCCACTGAATCATCAAATATAAGAGCTGGTAAGGACCAGTGAAGTCAGGTCAGATGTTTCAATCAAGTCCCATTTAATTTGGATTTTACGGATAAATCCCTTATGCGTTTCATGTGGCTCCAAGTTTCCCAATGAAAGTTGCATAGAACTTCCATAATTACCATCAGGTGGCATGCTTATGGAGGCAGAGTAAACCATAAAATTATAGGGTAGAGCTCCAATTACCTCTGCTTTCTAAACCACAATGCATGATATGTATGGTACTTCCTTTTGAATGCGATAAATAGAATTAATTGTTATTACTGTTTTATCACGCAGGATTAACTATTAAACTCAACTAAACTACCCAGTAATTCAAGAACAGTTGTATCATAATATACCTGATGATTTAGAGTATGATTAGTATTTATGAAATATGTGAACTATCACTCTTCTTTTGGTTCCTACAAGTGCTTGAAGTTCTTGGTGTTCACCTGGGGATTATAGCCATCATGAAACCCAAAGGCCTGATTTGGTAGCTCGGGCCTAATGTTTTGCAATACCTAGTACCTCACTCAGAGTTGTAGACCTAGTGTGGTTGAGTCAACAAATCTAACGTCATATGGTGAACATTTTGTGTGTACTTAGGAAGGAAGAAACGTTATATACTGGATCTTTCTAGGAATATCAAATGGATTGAGGATATTTTAGATAGGAATAGGAGTACCTTGATGTTCATATAGTAAAAAGTCCATTTAAACAGCTAAGGTTATGTAGAAGAGAAATAAAATTGGTTTGGAAAAAAAGTCTTAAAATTCTTTTCATCCTATTTACACTCTAACCTATTACACAGATGTAAAGTCTTCAAGAACCAAAGTTTTGAATATTTTTTACCTCTTTATCATGACTGTTTGATTTTTTTTTTCCATCTAGTGATCCTATATGAGAAGTCCAAGTGTGGCATTTGGACCCCTGAGTAATTAAAAGGAGCAACAGAAGTCTTCTTGCCTGTTGAATAGGTCTTCAGGATCCTATAAAGCATTTATAGAAAGGAATGAACAGGAATTGCACAAGAAGAGAAGGTTGCAGGATCTGGGAGCTGCAAACCCTACTTGCGGAAGGATTGCACATGCACCTGAGAATCGGTTCTCTCTCCTACTTTATTGAGAAAATCCAGCCATCTGTTATGAGCTTCCTTATCTCGCCTATTTGGCACCTCAAGAGCTTCCCACATCTTCATCTGTCCTCTCTTCTTTGGCTCCAGTCTCAGGATAAGGTGGTCTTTCCCCATGTGAAGTCTTACTGCTTAACTTGTGGCCTTGATTCCATCCCTTTCTGTCTCCTTCAGAAACTTGCTTCATTAATCATTTCTTCCTTTTTGCTCATTTTTGGAAATACTTTTTATCTATACATTTTGCTTTCACATCACCTACATTTCCTGACCTATTTCTCCTTCTTATCCTCTTCCTCCCAAAGAGCCGTCTTTTATAAACAACAAAGAATAAAAAGGGGGGGAGAACAATTCAGCAAAACTAAGCAATAAAAAGGGTGACTTTTTGGGTGCCAAGTTTGATTGTTATAATTTCACACTATTTAGTTTTGTTTTGTTATTATACTAACTGTGTGTATTATTTTCTTGATTCTCCTTATTTTGTGTAAGTTCCTATTAGTCTTACTATGTTTCTCTGTAGTCTATTTCCTACAGCTCAGTTGTATTCCATTATATTCATGTGCCATTATTTATTTAGCTATTACCCTATCACTGTCTATCCTTACTCATTATCAGTCATTTCCAATCTACTGACATTTTCCTTCTGCCTACACATATATTTGGTTCTTCCCTATCCTTAAAACATCTGCCCTTAGCCCTTCTATATTCCTAGGTTATCATATGATGTCTCCTTCCTTTCAATGGCAAACTCTTAGAAAGAGAAGTCTACACTAGTTGCCATTACTGTCTCACCATGGATTCAATTTAATTCAATAAACAATTATGGATCATCCATGATTAAGCTTGCAAGGTGGATAGTGAGCTGACTTTGAAGCTTGGAAGGTTTGGGTTCGTGATCTGCCTATAATACACACTGGCTGAGTGACCCTGGGCCACTCACTTGACCTCTTAGTTCTCTAGGAAAGATTTTAAGTTGCAGAGAAGATACATTGGTAGAGGAAACCACCTGGGAATTCCCTATACCAATGAAATCACAAGTCCAAACTTTATTTTTTTAAAATTTTTTTGTTTTTTGAATTAGGCAATGGGGTTAAGTGACTTGCCTAGGTTCACGCAGCTAGTAAGTGTTATGTGTCTGAGGCCAGATGTGAACTCAGGTCATCCTGAATCCAGGGCCGATGCTTTATCCACTGTGCCACCTAGCTGCCCCACAAGTCCCATCTTTAGCCCTGTGTGCAAGGCACTGTGGGTGCAAGACAAAAAACAAAAGTATTTCTACCCTTTTTTGGTTACTACTAAAGCAATAAAACTTGTATACAAGTAAAAATAAATATTGTTGGAGGGGGGAGAGAAGACTAACCCCTAAGAGGATCAGGAGATGTTAGGTGCAGCTTTTGCCATTTGAACAGAGGCCTGAAAGTTGTCAGGGTGGGGAGAAAGGAGTAAACTCTAGGCATGAAGTACTAGGGATGGAATGATGAGTTCTGGGAATAAGTGGTAAACCAATCAGGCCAGAATGTAAAAGAAATATAATAGGAAATAATTCTGGAATGGTAGATGTGAGCATGATTGTGGAGAACATTAAATGCCAGTCTAAGCAGTTTGTCTTTTGTCTTAGAAATAATGGGAAACCACTGAATATTTTTTGAGCAGAGAAATGACATGGTCAGATATACATTTCAAGAATATTAATTTGGTGGCTATGTGGAAGATGGATTTGGGAAGAGAAGCTGGAATTAGGGAGATGAAAGGGAGGTTATTGAAATAGCACAGAAAAGTGATGAGGATGTGAACTCAGGGCATGTTTGGGTGAGTAGAGGAAGGGGAATAATTCAAGAGATGCCTTGGAGATAAAATTGACAAGGCTTGATGTTTGCCCAGTTAATATTAGGCATAAATTTGTAGAGGACCCACCTCAAATAATTATTCATGAGATATGGGGAATCAGGGAGAGGAAAGGGCCAAGGAAGGCATCAAGGTTACAAATATAAGGTCTTGGAAGGATAGTAGCACTTTCAACAAATAAAGAAATCTGAAGGAAGGATAAATTGAAGGGCAAAGATAGAGATTTCTGTTTTGGTCATGCTGAGTTGAGTCATCTAGGTAGAAGTGTGCAGAAGGCAGTTGATAACACAGGACTAGAGCTCATAACAGAGATAAGGGTGGCTATGTATATATGAGGATTTTAATTGAACCCAAGTGAAATGATGGTATCACTGAGGAAGTGTAGAAAGAGAAATATCAAGTCAGAGTGTTCCATGTTTAGCTTGTAGGAGATGGATGATCAACCAGGAAAGGAGGACGACTAGTAGTTAGACATGAGAGGAAATAAGAGAAAGCATTATGGATGCTGTTGGGTGAAAAGAATGAGTGGTCAAGGGAAGGGAGGCATCAGTAGGGTCAGAAAGTTCAGACAGGTCAAGTAAGATGAGAATTGAGAAAGACCATCATACTTAGCAATTGAGAGATCATTGATAACCTTGGAAAGAGGAATTTCATTCAAATAATGAGGTCTATAGTAAGCTAAACCTTACTCAGAATGGACATCTAGTAGTTTAAATTGAATATTGGAATGCATTGAGATACTCTAGATCATTCAACAGTAAACAAAAGGAGTTTTATTTAACCATTCCAGGGGAAGAGTATTCAAGAAATATATGCATTAAGGATACTAAGAATTGATTCAGTTGATAGAACCTCCCTTGCCTGACTTGCCATGTGGTCTGCCAGCCAAGCATCAGAAATGAACTGGAGCCTTTTGTAACAGTTTTGTTCTCAGAGGTCCGGGAAGTAATGTCAACAACACAAGTCTTTAGTTCTCTGAGCCAAGTGAGTCTTTAAATATCTTTAAAGGAAAAACTAGTGTAACTCACACAATGGTGTGTGTTTTGGGGGAGGAAGGAGTAAGGGGAAATGAAGGGGAAATATTGCTCCCACTCCATGACCAGAAGCCAGATTCCAAGGGGTCAGAAGTGAGAGGGTAAGAAAGTGGAAGAAATAAGGAGTTTGGCTGTAAGAGGAGAGGTGATCTAGCATGGTAGCTTGAGGAGATGGAAAAGGTTTTTCTAGACCTTTGTTTGAATATGTTTGTAGGCAGCAGAGGAGAAGTCAGTGGATGAAGACAGAATGATTATGAGAAATGGGAATAATCAAAGGGCTAGATCCCAGAGGAGAACAGAGAGGATGGGATCAAGGGCACAAATAAACACATTGGTCTGGGCAGATATCTGACTCCTTCAGACACTGGAGCAAAGAACGCAAGAAGGAGGGATGCTTTCCATGAGTTCCAAAGTGCGGAGAAATCTCCTCGCTCTGGCTAGAAGGCTAGATCCTGGGTTTACAAAGAGGAAATTTCCTCTCTTTAACTGATAGGTGGGAGTTCAGGAATGACATTGTGCATGAATGGACCATGTGAGTAAGTACATCTATCCCCTCTTTGCTTCTCTAGGATACTCCACCACTGCTCCTGATTTTGTCATTTCCTCCTAGGGTCTTTGTATCTGACCTATGCTCATAAATGGAGAAAGAAAGGCAAAAGCTGGTCACGAAGACTCCTCAGCTGTATGGGATTGGGTGAGCACGTGTAGCTCCAACATGCTTCTGTTACAAAGCAATCATTAGTGGCTTCAGAGTTGGGGGAGGGAGTGGGGAAATCTCCCTTCCTCCCACCCCTGCTGCAT